GAGTACTTATCCACTTTCCAGCTTTAAACCAATAAAATCAGATAACATTTATTTTGTGATGCCCCTTATTTAGATTCATTTTGACCTGATGCTGACCCCCATCCATTTTTGTATTCACTTAAAACTTTGAAGCACTGTCACACATGCTAAGCATAGTGTCTTGCTGACACCTAAACAGCTGCCAAAAGATACATTGGGTCCATGACAGGCAGCCCAAGGGAAAACCATCAAGGAAAGGAGAATAGACTACTGCAGTGCAATTTATCTGTAAGCTATGTGTACAGCTCTCCCACAAATATATGTGTCATCTCTACTGAGAGAGAGACATATCTTGATGCTCTTGCCAAGTTCTCAGGGAAAAGCTTTCAATCAAGAACAACTGTAGGTCTGATAAAGTTCATATTATTTGTCCTCCAGGGCCAGTCTCACCATCTTGGATAGAACAAAAAAAATCTTGGGAGGATTTGATAAGGAAATAGCTAGTCTAAATACTGGAACAAAATACACCCAGCATTTATTCACAGAAATGCTCAGACATAAAATATATCCAGTGAACATCATCAGCTATTAATGCACATCCGTTTCAAAGGTATTTCTGAAAACCAAGCTAGCATAATCTTAAAGGTTTCACTTAAACACCAATCTAAATAAAAAGGATAAACAAATGATCACTTAGCAAATGTCTTAAAATTTACATTTTCAGATGCTTATCTAAAAAAAAAACAAACAAGAGGAAGCGAGATATAGATTTGAAATAGGAAAGTCAACTTTTGCTGGCAGTGTAGAACCACCAGCAGTGGCTGTTTTGCTCAACTGCATTCCTTTTCTATCTGTCACATACTCACAACAGAAACACCAGAAGTGTGCTAGGGCTACTGGAGGTTGCATCCACCTGCAGAGAAGCACACACAAATCTGTCTCAGAACTCATGGAAAGTCTAGGATTAGTCAATCTTCTCAAGTCTTTGGTGCCTAAGGACCAAAGAATAGTGGCCTATGTTTGTGTATTGGGTATACATGGCAAAGTTCTGCTACTGCTGAGGGGACTACAGGAGTGGCTTCTGTGAGAAGCTGCCGGAAGTTTTCCCCATGTCCAATGAAACCAACACCACTGGCTCCTAGACAGACCCACTGCTGGCCAAGGCCAAGCCAATCGGGAATGGCAGTATTGTCTCTGAGATAACATATTTTTAAGAAGGAAAAAGTGTTATTGCACAGAAGTAATTTGTGGCCAGAGAAAAGAGGCATGAGAATGTGCGAGAGGAACAGCCCTGCTGTCACCCAAGAGTGTGAAGAAAGAGGGGGAGGCGGTGCTCCAGGTGCCCAAGATGAGATTCCCATTGTTAAGACCATGGTTAAGCACCTGTGCCCCTGGAGCCCATGGAGGTCCACAGGTCCAATTGTAGCCCATGGAGGTTCCTGGAAGGACATGTTGACTCATGGAAAGAAGAGCAGGTTTCTCAGCAGGACTTAGTGACTCCATGGGGGACCCATGCTGGCTGGATCAGTGTGTTCCTGAAGAACTGCACCCTGTGAAAGGAATCCAGGTTCAAGCAGTTCATGAAGAACTGAAGCCTGTGGCAAGGACTCATGCTGCAGAAGTTCATGGACAACTATCTCCCATGGGAGGGATTCTGGAGAGGGGGAAGACCTCCTCTCCCTGAAGAGGAAGCAGAGGCAGAAACATGTTTCTAATCCTTACTCCCTGTTTCCCTGTGCTGCTGGTGGAGAAGAGGTAGGGAACTGGGAATAAAGTTAAGCTTGGAAGGGAGGAGAGGTGGGGGAAAAGTGTTTTAAGGTTTGTTTTACTTTTCATTATCCTACTCTGATTTTGATTGGCAGCAAATTCAATTAATTTCTCCAAGGTGAATCTGTTCTGCCTGTGTCTATAATTAGTGAGTGATCTCTGCTTGTCCTTAGCTCATGAGCCTTCTGCTGTATTTTCTCTCTCCTGTCTAGCTGAGGATGCGAGAGATAGAGAGGCTTGGGGGGCGCCTGGACTCCAGCCAGGATCAAAGCACCACACCTAGACACAAGACCTTCGTATCACTGGCAAGGATGACCACTGCTAATCTTCAACAGTCAAGTAAACCTTTACGGGGGGAACACCTTAAAAGCTGGCTCATCTGGTCTTCAGGGAAGAATCAGAACCACACCAGCAATGCTGAGGTACAGAAGTAAGCCAGGCTTTCATTCTTTGCTTGCACTGAGAAAATTGCTGCTGCCACCTTTATCTGAAAAAACAGACCAGTACCCTGTTCTCCTGAAATGTGATGATGCTAATTCCTTATTCAGAGAACAAGTGCTATTTTCAGTTCTTCCACTGGGAAAAAAAAAACCCACACGGGTATTTAAAAAAATCCAAAGCTCTGGCACCTAGCCATGACAAAGAGCCAAAACTAACATGATTTCCTACAAACACTGGTATGTACTCTGCAAAACAGCTACGCTCCAGTGCGTACCAACTGCTGGTGGCCTTCCCCTCAGCTAACTACACACTGCCCATATTAGCTACCAGTCATTTCAACCTTAGGCAATGCATTGTTGTTCATTATCTCCACTTCTAGCTTTTAAGCATTTTATAATGAAATATTTTAAATGTTGGAGTCAGGATTGATTTCTTCTGATGCATTTTTGTATGTTGAATTAAAGCACGCATAGACCTTAACCATCTGTTAGCTTAAACAAAGGCAGCTATCAAGTCATGTGAATGGAGGCTACTTGAAAGATAATGACAATTACAGTGAATTTCACTCACACCCACAGAGTTCACAGTTCAGATATGAAGCTGTAAGAGGGTAAATAACTGCACTTAGCCAAAAATGCAATGCATGAGATTTACAAAGCAAGAGCATCTTAGTTCAAAACATGACCCCAAGCAAATACCAGGAATTATCTGGGGATCTATCAATCCCCACCCATATTTTGATCAGAGGAATAAAAAACAAAACAAAAAAACCCAAGCCACTAAGGAATAAGCAGGTTTGTCCAAGGGATGATCAAAATGATCCATGTTTTATGTTTTTGAAACATGGGCAAATATTTCAAAAAGCAAAATACTTGTAACTTACACAAGCCTATATAGGCTGTTACTCTGTTGAGTTTTTCATCAAGTTTCCAGGAGTGAGGATGATTACAGAGGAAGCCCACAAACTTTACTGACTGTAGGTAGCTATCAAAGAGCATCTACCTAACCAATCAATTGCATAGATTGGTTAGGTAGATACTCTTTGTATTGTGTGATACTATTCAGCTGGCCTTTCTACAGACAACTGAGCTGCAGCTGGATGAGGCTGTGTGAACATAGCCCAAAATTACATGTTTAGACAGGCAAAATATATTTTCACAATGTAAACAGAAAAGTGTCTGGGTTGGATAAATCTGTCCAATTGCTACTGCACACTGGAGTATGGATCCCATCCACAGCACCATTAATTGGTAAAGCAGAATTCCTGAAGAAAAAAATACCACAATCTGAGTAAAGTTTTTGAGGTTAAAAACTCTTATCTAGATGGAAGCCTTTTCCTTACTCGAACAGCCATTATGCAAGCATGAGAAATACAGGTTTGGAATAAGCACTGCTTTAGTCTTCGAAGCAGAGTGCTCACTGTGGAGACACAACAAACATAATTCTTTATTTCAGGCAGCCTGCTGTACTCCTGGACAAGAAAAACAGCTAGTACTAATTTAAAAAAGAAAAACAAGGAAAAAAAAAAAGAAAAAAAACCAGAAAAAACTATTTTAAAAGCACCAGAGAGCACTAAACAGATTTTAGCGTGAAACATTTGTTTAGCCTTAGAATACACGTGTCCTGTCTCAGTTTGCAATGATAAATTTAACAGGTTGATTTTGTCACTTCTGTCTACATCCATTTGCTTTTGTAATTGAGTTATTTTTTGTTGACAGGAAGAAAATCAAATGTACATCATTCCTCCAAGTGAGCCATCTGAACTTTAACAAGTACAAATACTCACAAATCAGCTGAAAATTGCAGATTTTGTTGCCCAGAAAAAAGGTGAAGAAACCCAGATTCCTGTCTGTTTTCACTAATAACTAAGCAAAGTGGAATTGTTTTCCACATTATCCTCCTCCTGCTGATCAGAAGCCCACTGTTTCACCACACAGGTGCACACATGTGGTTGATCACTTGAACTCAAGGCCTGCAGCTCGGGATGTGACTTCGTGGCCATCCAGAGATGAGGGAGGGCTACCACCAGAGGTAGTGGCTACTCACACCCACCCTCTCTCTAACTACTCACTGTCACCTGCTGCACTAGCATCCATGGTGGGACACATCAGGGAAATAATCTGCTCTTTTAGCACAGGTTTGCACTTTGCAAAAGGAACTCCAACAGGAGTGGAGTTCTCTTTCTGGAAAGAGGCACAATATAGTACCGAATCAGGTTTACAGAACAAACCAACACAGGGTAAAACAAACAAAAACCAATCAGGAGACCCTAAATGCCCACTTCCACTTCCTCTGATAGAAGAAACTATCACGGTGCCCTTCCTAACCTGAAATGTCATGATGACATAAGGGAAAAGCTTAGGCAGCATAGTCCCATATGATAGGAACAGTGAATTTTATTCCTAAACAAGGGCTCATGACTCACATTCATTAAATTTATCCTACTGATCTGCTTCAAGTATTGTTTTTGCAGCAGAACTCATGTTCCAGAAAATGCTGCCAGCCATCTTCACCTCCCAGATTAATTACAACTGTGGGGTCTTGGTTTTTTGCCTTAAAGTGCTGACAGACAAAACCATTAAATCCCTGGCTCCCTTGACTCAATGAGAAAAATTCCATTAGCTTAATGCATTTTAACCCAAGTTACTTACAAACATCTGAAAACACCTGGGGGGGAAAAAAATCACAAAGGCCACATGCTGTTGATATAAACTCAGCAGAGTTGCTTGGCACACAAGTAAGCACACAATGAGTTAAAAACAAAAGCCAAAAAATAAGAATAAAGCAAATACAAAATAACAGCAGCAGCTTACCTTTTGAGGTGGTGGTCCGTGATCATCCAGATAAGTGGAATTTCCTACAAAAATAAGAAGGATGAAGATAAACAAAAGTCATCCAATGCAACTTCCAAACTTTACAATTCATGGAACCAGTGCATCTCTATCCCACTAGTTTTGTGGTGTCAAATAATTCAAGGAAAATAAATTCCCTCTGCTTTAATTTTTGATTAACAAAAAATTTGTCTACATTTGTAATACAACAATCTAATACATTAGATGCACATTGTCATTTTACAAAAAAATTTACATTGCCCAAGGCAGCTTTAATTAATCAATCAGTATTCAATTATTGGTATGACAAAAAATTGCCAGCTGCATCCTTGTACATTTCAAGCAAGTGAGCATGGTTAACCTCAAAAAGTTTTCTTAAATAATCAAGTATCAAAGGCCTTTATCAAATTTTGGTCTGAGGGAACTGACAAGCATTCACTTCTCTCTCTTCTAACTGTATTTTTCCCAACCTCCAAGCTACTTTTTTGTTCCTAAACAACACTGATTGAATAGGAGTTGTATTCTGATGTAATTGCACCTGCCTTTTCAAGATGTTCACTAAATTCAGACAAAAAGCTTCAGGAAAAAAAAGCTTCTAAACAAGTCCACCCTTCTTAGCTACAATAAAAAGGCAACAATTTCAGCCTTTTACATCTTTCTTACAAACACAGTGATACATAAAATACACACTCCCCCACACACATAGGCTATCTTCCATGACTGTCTCTCCCAAACACTTCTCCAAAAGTATTAATCCCTTGCTTTCCCACAAACTTCCAGCAGATGAAACCTTCCAGCAAACCTAAAATTTCCCCTTGGGCCACACATACCTCTCCTCTCAGTCATCCTCCTACCAAAGACAGAAAAAATACCTCTGTTCTAACCTTACATCAGTATGAGGTATGAGAATTATTTTTACAGGTACCTACTAGACATCCTAAAGGCACGTGGAAGAGGACTTTAAAAAGCTCGTTCTGCTCATGAGCTCCTGGGGTGTTGTATAGGCAACAGAAACACGGGCTAGTGGGATAAAGCATAATTCAGAACCAAAGGGCTTTTCTCTTTACAATCTGGCCAAATCCCTCATTTTTCCAAATGCCAAAACCTGCCTCCTAGAGGTTTCTGGATCCAGGAGGCAGGAAAGAGGTGTTTTTGTCTGAGTGTTACAGTTACAGAACAAGGAGGTGAAGCTTTATTGTGGAATATTCAGTAGCAGACACACCAGTGCTGAGGGCTGGTTTCAGCAGGAAAAGCAGGGGGCTGGAAGTGGAAGGGCCACCATTCCCTTGCTGGACTCTTGGGAGAGGCAGCCACCACCTGGACCACACCATCTTGGGGAAGAGAGAGCCTGCAGACATCACTGCTGCTGCAGCAAGATGAATTTCTATGTACAACAAGAAGTTGGGATTACTTCTCGTAAGTATTTTGCTTTCTGGTTTTCCAGCACATGTTACAAAGCCATGATAATCTCAGTCAAAAGGCTTCCAACTCATCTAAAGGGAAGTCCCAATACCCCAAACACATTTTCACAGATGTATGTACCTTGATCTTGGAAGAGTTTGTGCAACTAAAAAGCCTGAATGGTAACTTTTTTATGGTCATCTGAAATCACAGATCATCTTCTGAAGCATACCAGAAATTCATCTCTCTATACATTTGACACAAATACCCACCCTTTGAACAATCCAGTGACTTAATTTAATGCCATAGATAATATGGCTGATGCCCTACATTCAGGAAAATTTCTTAATCCTTCCCTCTGATATGATGCTGATTTCCAGGGAAGAAATTCAGCTTCCAGACTGCTAAAAGAGTTGGCAGTCTGGTTTTCTTTTAGAGTAGCTATTCCACACACAGTGACATGGACTTGAAAAGAAACATTTTCAAGCATTTCTCCTCCTACTTAATCTAGGACGAGAGCAAGGAAAACTCATTCAGAATTTACCTTTCCTGTAGAGCCAGGCGTTACTAGTTCTTAGCAGCTTTCTCCTCTTTGCAATTCAGCAAGCAGAAAGACTGACACTTCTTGATAAAAATATTCCTTACATTTTCCTTACACAGTTTTCTCATTGTGTCAGGAAAATGGTTTCATTTTGATATCTAACAAAAAAAGTGATGTTTGTTGTCTGAACAAGTTAACGCACTAGAGAAGTCATAAACATTAGATGAAAACTACTATAAAAAAAAATTAGCTAAACTTAAGTTTCATAATTGGTATTAAGGTGGTTACAGGAGTAACAGGTTTTTTTCCTTCTCTCCCCAAAACAAATGCAATTTATGCTTATCGAAATAAAAAGGAATATTAATTACATATGCATTAACTATCTTTACCAATCACCTATCACAGCCAATTTCACAGTAGAGAAGGACTCGAATTGTCAGGAGTTTACACAGCATCTTACAGTGCAGCACCACGAGTGTCAGAGTTATATCACAGAAAAAATTTTGATATATTCCTTAAAATTAAAGAGCTTATAACTAATTTCACCTCTCTGTATCAGTAATGGATGTTCTTAATATGGAGACCGCATTCTCCTTCCTTGTAAATTTTCAAATTATCAAAACAAGATGGAAATATCTCTAGCTTTGAACATGTGCCTTGTAGATTTGATTTCAGTAATCAAAATGTTGGTTTTTTCACAGCACAGTCCAGTTACTACTGTATCCACTTACACGACAATAGTAGAATTATGGGCCATTTTAGAATAGCTGTTTGCACAGCAGTTCCTTGCTCAAATTCAGAAGCTACAAACTGACAGAAACTAATTGTTGCAGCAACACAAGTGAAGAAGGAAAGAGGGTATTGATTAGAAACCTGCTCAGAATTACTCACCATGAGCAGAGGATGGAAAGCTGCAGACAGCCCCACACTCCATATGCAGAGCTGGCTACTGTCACATGTCACAGCTCCTCCTTCTGCTCCCCAGGCACATGCGAGCCAGAGCCAATCTCAGTGTCCACAGGTTGCCACATCAATTTAACGATCTGAATTATTTTGGTTTCAAGTTTTAATTGAGAAATTTTTTTCAGTAATAAAAGCAAAACCCTTTGCTGCATGATTCATACCGTACACTAAGCAAAATACACTAAAATAACTCCCCTGTGCAATGGAGTGCTGCAGCAGCCTGTGAGGTACACCAGCCAGCTCCTTAACCCCATGAAGCCCAGCAGTGCCCTCACTGATCACTGCATTACAGATCTCAGCTTGCTTCCCCTCTGTCTGCAAAACGGGGGCCACAGTACAGGAGCCTTAATGCATGCAGAAATGTAATGAAAAATACGCAAAAGGCCTGAAGGAAAGAGGATGATTTTCTTACACAAGACGTCATGAAAATCTTTTTAAGCATGATTCCCAAGATGGGTGTTTGCAAGTTTTGAAAACTTAAAAAAGGGTGCCACTTTTACACACAGGGCCACTTTTCAAACAATATATATCAAATTAGGTTAAATTATGTTAAAAACAAAAGAAAAATTCAGCACTGTAGGAACTGCAACCATTGGAAAATACAAGGTAAAGCCAATCTATGAACTACCAGCTACTAACAGCTGACACAGTAGGAGCATTGCACAGTAAGCATCAGAGACTTAGGCTTGTTAATGCAATTGTAATAAACGTTTGAGGTTAGGTATCATACTTCTGGTATCCATTCCCATCTAAGATGGAGAACATTATTTTACAGCTTTCATATGCTATGGCACAGACAACATGTATTTGACGTCGCCACGTGCCACAAGCTTTCTGTGGTAGAAAAGGTAAAGTGATAAAAGAGAGAATCATCTTTCCTCACTAGGAACTTTGTCCATTGCCCCAAAGCAACCTATGGCATTAAATTATTAGGATGACTTCTCTCAACTCCTTTAATAAAGCTTTAATAAAGACATCATTACTCTTGTCTGCTAATAACAAGATTATTTTGTTTTGTTTCTTCCCCCCAGAGTATTTACTCTTCAAAAAGGAAATTTTCTGCCTTCCTGTAATAGCATGAAAGTCTAAGGCATTAGAAAATATCAGACAAAATAATCAAGTCTGAAAACAAGTGGTATTCCACATTTCACAAACATGCTCAACAGCACACTTGGACTGGCTGAACATGTCTCCTCCACACTCTGCCAGAGATGATAAAAAAAAAAATCAGTTCTAGTATGGAAAATGGTGAATACATGGAGGCAATCCAGATTTTTCCATAATTCACTATCTTAGCAGCTAAGTGAATCAGCTGTATGTAAAATCTTTGGGGAAACCTTGTGGTTATGTTCCTTTCTTCTTGGAATCACTGAAGTGTGGGGGTTTTGCTTGAAGCAAGCCAAGTTTGAAGAGAGAAACATGGTCAGTCAACCAGGATTAAGGACAAATATTGCTGTGTACAGTTCAGAGCCACAAATAATGAAAGAAACTGCAATTCTGGGAAAAAACCTTTTCAAAAAATACTGGAGAGTACGGGAATAGGAAGTAAATGGGCTTATGCATGAACTGAAAACCCTTTGATAGCAACTAAAACAGCGTGACTCTACTTGAACAATTCCAATATCCCACGGAAAGAATTGTGTAAAGACAGGGAGAGAAAGCCAACACTGAAAATGCGGAGCCTGGATTATTTTTCTGGAACAGGGTTTTCCCTGGTAGAGAATCACAAGCAGCAGCTTAAGGGAGCTGGGATCCAGCTAAGGCCAAATTTAATTTGTCTTCTGAAAATCCTTCTTTGTTCTTTTCACTCAGTCACCGTCTCAAACTCCCAGGTGCCAATACAACCTCTACTGGCAAACAATCTCTTAGACCCTCTGATGTTTAAAGCAAAGGAACAGTTTAATAGTTACCTGAGGAGACTTCTGGTCTGGAAATCAGAATCTGAAGAACAATTTCCCCACCAAGCCCCTTTAATCATTAAGAGCTGCACCTTCAAAATAAACTGAAGTGCCAGTGAATTATCAGAAGATAATATATTCTGTTGTGCTCCCTTCTTTATTCTTTTTCCCCTCCCAATTAAGCAGCGGACACACTTAGAAATTTCAAGGATATTTCTACATC